GCATAGATTTTACTGAGGGAAGCAGGCTGTGAACAAGATATATTAGATGGTGTCCAGAACTAAGGAGATAAATAAAAAGGAGAAAGAGGAGTGCTTTTAAAAAAAGCTGTTTTAGATAGGGGGAGTGGTTCATGGAAGGTCTCACTGACTTGCTCATTGACTAAAGACGTGAAGGAATGGGGCAATGCTTGGGGAAAAGCATTCCAGGCAGAGGGAACAACATATGCAAAATCCCTGAGGCAGGAGCATGCCTGGAATATCTGATGAAGAGCTTTGAGGCCAGAGTGGCTGGAGCCAAGTGAACAAGCAATATGGAGGTCAGAGGTAACAGGAAGAAAGATCTGCAGAGGGCTTTGTAGACCATAAGGAAGACTTTTACTCTGAGTGAAATGAGGAGCCATTGAGGGTTTTAAGCAGAGGAGTGACATGATGTGACTTAAATAATAATAGGATACTCTGGCTGATGTATTGAAAAGGGGAAAAGGCATGTGAAGGTTCATTTTTTGTGACGACTGAATAAGGGATGCTCAGATAGCTGATAAAATGTTTCTGGAAGAGATTAGCATTTGAATTGGTAGACTAAGAAGGTCTGCCCTCATCAATGTGGGCACACTGACATTGAGGACCTGGGTAGAACAAAAAGGCAGAGGAAGGGTAACTTCCCTTGGGAAGGGTGCACCACACCTTTTGGCATATGGAGTTGACTATAGTCAAATTCATAGGATGTCCACAAAGTTTAAAAAAGAACTTTATTGGCAAAAGTACCAGTACCTACTAAAAGGCAGCAGAAGGGCAAATTCTCTTTTGGAGGTAGGACATCCATGTTTCTCTGCCCATGGACACCAGAGGTGCTGGTTCTTGGGCCTTGAGACTTCAAGACTCACACCAGCAGCCCCTCCCTGGTTATCAGGGCTTTTGCCTTGGACTGAGAGCTACGCCATTGGCTTCCACAGTTCTCAGGCCTTCAGATTCAGATGGAATCACACCACTGGTTTCTCTGGTTCTCTGCATGCACATAGCATATTGTTGGCCTTCTGAGCTTCCATAAGTGCACGAGCCAATTCCCATAATAAATTCCTAGTCATATATCTATATATATCCTATTGGCTCTGTTTCTCTGGAGACCCTGAGTAATATAAGGTGGAAGCTGGGAGAAGAATGGATAGTGAATGCTCAGCAGTTATGATAGAAGTCTTTATATATTGAAATATTGGTTCCAATTTTTCATTCTTAATAGTATTGGAGGGAGACACACACACACACACACACACACACACACACACACAGAGAGAGAGAGAGAGAGAGAGAGAGAGAGAGAGAGAGAGAGAGACAAAGGGAGGTATGTCTTGAAAGAAATTGTGAGTGCACCACATCTTTTGGCACATGGAGTTGACTACAGTCAAATTTAAGGAAATCCATGAAGTTTAAAAAACAACTTTATTGGCAAAAGTACCAGTACCAGCTACAAGAGATTGATACTCTAGAGGATATAAACAGATTATTGGGCTCAAATTTTCTATAGGCAAAAAGCAGGTTGAAGAACCCATTTATCCACCAAAAAGGGCATATTCTCTAATGTCCTTTGCAAGTGACTAAGGAAGATGAGGGTAAAAGAATGATTCCCTAGAGTGTAGAAACAAGAACTATGGAGGATAGACTGGAAAATCATTCTTAGGGAGCAGAACCAGTGCCTAATCATGAAATGTAATTCCCTCCAATAGAGGAACCTGACAACCATTGTCCAGTGAGATTTCCTAATTGTTATGGACCAGTGGCTATGATCTGCCTCCATTTTTCTCCTTTGTGAATAAGGGTATTTTATTGTGGTTATTATCATTGCTAATCCATCATTTGTTGTATGTTTGGTATGTGAGAAAGAGATACTTGCTCTTTTAATTCATAGGTCTCTATGTCAAGAAGAGCTATGTGTGGACCTGATGTAGATGATGAGATCCTGGACTTCAAAGATGTGATGGAACTTTCAGGGGTTTTGGAATAGAAGTAGGTCTAGTTTGCATGTGGGAAAGCTATAATTATAATCAAGAAAGCAGATTAAATTACTGGTCCCAATTCTTCACTACTCTGTAGTATTAGTATGCATACACGTATTTCTTCATCCTCTTTGGGCTTCATTTGATGACTTTTTTTTTTTTTTAAATATGGGATGTCATAGTGTATTTCTTCATCCTCTTTGGGCTTCATTCGATGACTTTTTTTTTTTTTAAATATGGGATGTCAGTGGAAGTGATATTATTAGCAAAAGCTTGAAGTACTCTTGAATGCTGGGTTTTCCTGTTTGTCTTCTGTGACCAGCATGAGAAGAGCTTGTCCTGGATAACATCTTTCAGCATGCGCTCAGAATAGGACACGTGAATCAGAGGTGCTGTGCTGCAGTTGACCCATGGGCCCACAGCCTGAAGCAGACCTTCCTCTTGTCAGCCCACAAACCCAAAGTGAGTCTTGAGGTTGTAGTCCAGCCTAGCTCAGCTACATTACCACTGACCCACGGACCCAGGAGAAAAGATAACCATCTTAAAGCACTGACTTTGGAATGAGTTGTGCAGCAGTAGTGAGACAATCACTGACCAGTATAGGTTATCGCAATAAGTCACAAGGACATCATAGGAACTAGGACCAAGGTGCTAACAATGGAAGTGGTGAGAAGTAGGCAGATTTTGAATTTATTTTCTAGGTAGAGCCCACAGGTTTTGCTGATAGATTGTATACGGGGTGTGAAAGAAAGTGAAGCATTAAAGTTGAATTCAAGGTTTTTGGCCCAAGGAAATGGAAGAATGGAGCAGCCATTTTTGAATGGAAAAACTTGGGTGTGGGGAAGTTTCAGATTTGGGGACAACACCAGGAGTCATTTTTCCTATGTTACTTTTCAGATGCCTATAGACATCCAAATGGGGATGTTATATAGGCAGTTGAATATAGATATGGAAGTTCTCAGGCAGAGGAGAGAAAGGTCTGGGAGTAATCATTAAGAACAAGGATTTTAAAGCTATGAGACTGCAGGAAATCAAGTGAGTATAGAAATGGGGTCAAAAGACTGAGCCTAAGGGCACTTAGTATTTAGTGGTTGGGGAGTTGAAGAGTTACCAGGAAAGGAAATTGAGAAGGAACAGCCAGAGAGATAAGAGGAAAACCAGGTAAGTTCTAATAAAGTGTGATTCATATGTGTTGTTGTCATAATATCACATCCATTGCTCAAATTTTCCTTTTTCTCCTTCACTACAAATATCACCACCACTAGATGTATGTGTGTGTGTGTGTGTGTATGTGTACGGAATGCAGAGGGTTAGTTACCTTATGTGTATAACAAGAGAATTACTGAAAAAGCTAACTCATTTCTTTTTTTTTTTTTCCTGCTATATATTCACTATGGAAAAAAAATCTCTTTTTCTCTCTGGTCTCCTCTCCAGGTCAGGGAATCTAAATCTTTGCATAAATTCTGGGTCCCCCTTGATAATCCTCTAAGCAGGATGGCTTTGTTCGGGAGGGGAAGGTGTTGGAAGCTGGCGCTTTCAGTGGAATGGGAGGGATGAGCAGCTGGAATCCTGGAGGATTGATTTCTTTTCCTCTCTAAGCCAGGAGGAGAGGGTTTAAGGAGGGGAGGAAGTGGGATATTACAGACTTGTATTTAGCTAGCATGAAATTCTCTATAGTGGCAGCAAGACTTTAGAAGGAGAAAGGCCACCTGTATGAGTGGACATTAGAGAATGAATGCCATAACCTTAAAAGGGTTGGTGTGAATCAACTGTGTTTGAGTGGAGATCACTTGGGTGAACCTCTGTTGCAGTGCCTGATAAAGGCTCAGTGCCAGGAATGGGCAGTGAGGCATCTGAAATAAAACTGCTTTGGAGAAAGAGTATGTCTAAGCCTATGAAAAGGATCAAAGTGTTTGTAGAAGAGTATTTGTTATGACATAACATATACCTGGTTTTAGAAACTCCTCAGGACTGGGCCATCCCGCCTTGTTTTTGAGCTTTGGGAACAATGGCTGTGGAACTATGAATGAAGAGAGATGTAATCCTGGAACTAAATCATGGACCATCTACTATGGTGCAGGCAGGAATTGGAACCAGCCAGAGAATCACCTCAGTCTGCTGGACTATGTTACAACATTATGGTAGAAGGCAACAACATTAACTAAATGGTAAGACTGTACTTTCTACCTTTCGTATTGGGAAGAGAACTGCACGCTTTGGTCTGAGACATGAACCCTCAGTTTCCTGGACAATCAAAGGTGGAGGGGTCTCAAAAAGGAGAGACTGAACTTTCTAAAAATAAGGCGCTGGGGATTTGAATGGTTCAGTGAACCATTCAAATAAGATATAAAGCCTCTGAGTTTGTAAAATAGGCATTACCATTTGTATATTTTTTAAATATACCATTGTATATTAAAAAAAACTTGGAAAGTTTTAACTGAAGAAGACAGCATGATATGATAGCTTTTGCTTTTTCCAATGTGATGTTCTGGAGAGCAAAACAATAAAAAATTGTGTAAGTTGCATGAGTGTAAGAACAGTATTCACTACTAATTCCCAGCACATAAATAGTGCTCAATACATTTTCAATAAATAATCGAATGCATGTATGATAAATGAAAACAAGTGGGTTAAATTTAAAAGGGGGGCAGATTTTTTTTTTTTTTTTTTTTTTTTTTTTTTTTTTTTTTGAGACAGAGTCTTGCTCTATCGCCCAGGCTGGAGTACAGTGGCACAATCTCAGCTCACTGCAATCTCCGCCTCCTGGGTTCAAGCAATTCTTCTGCCTCAGCCTCCTGAGTAGCTGGGATTACAGGCGCATGTCAACACATCTGGCTAATTTTTGTATTTTTAGCAGAGATGAAGTTTCACCATGTTGGCCAGGCTGAAAGAGGCAGAGTTTTGACCCAGCTTATCTTTCTAAAAATTCTAAATTTAAATGGACTATCCTTAAAAAGCAGTGAAATTCTTTATCACTAGGAGTGAAACAGGAGCTAAAGAACATCTTTAGGGGATGTGATAGCGAGGATTTATTTATTTGATAATGGTTAGACCACAGAACCTCTGAGATCTCTGTAATCTCAGATACTTCAGTTCTATAACTCTAAATCCAAGGGTCTCTATAGATAGACTTGAGACAAGTGTAAACAAACTCATGATCTCAGAGAAGTCTTCAAGTGGCATGTTTCAATGGTATGCTTATGCAACAAATGCTCATGACAGATTTTCACAATAGCAACAAATGTTATTTCACAACATCTAATCTTCCTTACTCAGGAAAAAATGACAATAACAAGAAGATTAATGGAGTTGAATTATTTTTCATGTTTCCTGGAGGTAAAAACAGTGTCCTCACTTGTTTTCCTCTTTTTCCTCATTTTCCTCATTTTCCTCATTTTGAAGACTATCTGTTTTCATTTTCTTTACCTCCTCTCTGGCTACGTGTCCCCGGAAGGCAGCTTGGATTTTGACAGCAGCAACCTCTTCTTTTTCTTTATCTTCCTCAGAAGAGTCCTTCATTGAAAGGAGAAAATGTAACAGACTCTTTAAACATGGCGTATTTTTGATGCCATAAAAATAAATGCATAAAATTTAATCAATTTAGGGAGGCAACTATCTGAGATCTGTTGCTTCCTGAGGGAGTTTCATATATTGTCACATTGTATATGCACCGAATGGCAAATGCCAAAATAGCAGGCATTTTGTTTTGTCACTCTTTAATATGTCTCAGCAACAAAAGATCATTGCCAACTTTCCTTCCCCCAGAACAGTGCCTATTTCAGTTTCCTTAAATAGGTACTATTTTGAGGGGTTGGAGGGAACAAAAAAAGAATCCTTGAGGCATGGTAAAAATGTTAAGAATAATAATAAATGTTATGTCTAAAAATAATCATAACTACATACAATAAATTAGAATAACTTCTCAATTTCTAAATGATTAGCTAATCAAAGTCATACATTTAAAGTGAAGTGCCAAAGAGAAATCCGTTTAGTCCAGTAAAGTCAGTTTTAACATGGTTTGTTGAACTTTGGCACATTATCATCTTTTTTAAAAAAATGGGTATAAAATTTTTAGGTATAAATTTACAGATAGTAAAATGCATGAATCATTAGTGTACAACTGAATATATAGCTTTCAATATATCTTTAAATATGATAGAAATGATATGTATACACTTTAAAAACTCAAATGTCATTGGCAGTGAAAGCTTTCTCCCCCTATTCAAATCCTGCTCCTGGGAGATACCCATTATTATGAGTTGAGTATCTATATCCTTCCAAAATTTCTGTATATGCAAATATATTCATATGGGTATATACATGCCTTTTTATTTTAAAAATGAGATCATGCTAATCACAGAGTTCTGCAGCTACTTTTTCCATGTAACAATATATCTTGGTTCTCTTTTTCTGTGTTACTAGTCAGTGTATAACTCTGCCCCTTCTTCTTTTTTATGACATCATTGTATTATATTATACTGATATACTTTTATTTAATATTTACTCAATCTCATATTAATGGGCTATTGGGTTGCTCAAGCTCCCAGCCCCCCATTATAAACAATGAGACAAATCTGGCTCAAACTTTAAATGCAAACAGAATGGTACTAAATTCTTTGAGATGACATCCTAATACAGGCAAATGAAAATACTCAAGTTGGAAATCAATGAGATCCCTATTCAAACTCATGAAAACCTGTGTAAGAGCACCTATGAAAGATGTTAAGAAAATAAAATTCCCTTCTTCTTTAACTTTCTGTTACATCTTAATGTTAGGCTTATTGGGTTGTATTGATATAATTCTGGAATAACCTGTACATCTCATAGGGAAAAGTCACGCATTACTAGGTAGGAAGTAGGGTATTCCTTGAGGGGATATCCATTCTGGGTGCCAGTTACTGGGCAACTACCTAGGACCTGAGACATAAAAAGGAACTCAGAAGTTTGAACTTTGACATTGTAGAGAGTGAGTTCTTCTTTCTTATGAGGCCTAGTCCACAAGAGTCTGGACTATGAAGAATAGAAACATTCATGTACTGATAAGTGTTTTAACAACTGGCTCTCCAGAAAAAAACAAAGCCCAGATTTGCAGTGTTTGCCATGGTCTTAAAATTCTCATTGCAGATGATTCAAGTTATTAAAGTGACATTATTGAACACGAGCCTGGGTAGAAATGTCTCTTGTCTCTTGGGAGCTGGCTCTAGCACACCACTGAATATAGGTATCTTTGAAGGTGGACTTCTCTATGTCTTGACTGCTTGGATGTAGTACGTCAGGCACAGAGGCATTTTGTAGAGGGTTATGCATGGAAGATGAATAAGCCATATTGTTGTAAAGTCATTATTTTGGCTGTATGTAATCCCCTGTGACTTTTCTTTTGTTATCTCTGAATGTTTGCTATTGTATAGTGGTGACAGCATCAATTAGTGAGAAATTCCCAAAGTGGAAGATGAATCTGAAAGATCACAGCTGGGGCTGTGAGTTCTGTCTGCCCTTCCCCATAGGGAGATTTTCCATCCATTAACAATCTTGAAAAATAAGATTTTATTTTTAAGGGAAAAATGAGTTTTTGATCATAAGAGGCATGGCTGAAAATGATCTACCAGTTATTTTATCTGGATATTATCTTGATGTTAATCTTTATCTGGAGTTTATCTTGATGTTAATTATCTGGAAGGTAAAATCATAATTTTGACAATAAAGATAACAGACATTCATTGGAGTTCAATTTTAAATTGGGCAATATCATTCTTTGTATATGAAAATATCATTCTTCAATAGTACATGAAAAATATTACATACTAAGATGGTGACTGGTGTTTCTTCCTCCTTCCCAGATACCTGAGACTTTTCTTCTTTAGGATCACATTTCTCAGATGGTTCTTGCTTCTGGACAGATAGGAGAGAGCCAAATTAGCAATGTTTCCAAAATAGCAAAGTCTTATATAAAAATGGTTAGAAGTAATTAAATATTACTTTAAATTACTGAGAAATAGAGGGAATTAAACACTACATATTTATCTTTAATAAGAAAAATACATTAAAAACAAGAATAAATAATTAAAGCTCTTAAGGGAATATGTGTAAACAAATATTAAAGGCCAAATAATCAGCAAAGCAATTGATCTGTTGCTTTTGGAATGTGTATACCACTGTTTTATGTTAAAAGTAAACCACTGTCCTATACTAAAAGTTGATAAGATGCTATAATGAATCCTGAACAAAGTATAAAAGAGAGATTCGAACAGTTTCTAAAATAGGAATAAAATAAATGGCACTGTGTTCTATAGTGTGACGTCAAGTTGACTTTTGAGTGAGGTTTATGAATTAAAACTAGTAAAAGAAGCAAGTTTTGCTGTGGAGTTTTGCTTTATGATTTAAACATAAAAGGAGAATCCACCTCTGCCTATTTTGACATGGTTATTTAAGTCTTCCTCCCCAAACTAAAGGCATTGCTAATTCACAACTACTGAAAGAGCTTATTTAACCTATGAAACTAAAATGTAAGAAGATGTAATCTACTCAAATGAAACCTTTAGCATTAAAAAAAAGAAATACCCCAGAATTGCTATGTGACATAAGGATTTAAAATTTTCAACATTTATTACTTTATTTCGATAAAACATGAATACAAATAAAACATGAACACAGAGAATCTAGTGAAATAGAAATAAGCAGAACACACCCATATCTGCAGGCACAAATGGATGGAACTTCACTTTCAAACTCATGTAATAAATGACAGCTACTTCTTTAGGAAATCCCTCAAATCTACTGGAGAACACCACCAAAACCTGAACTTTGTTAATTCTTTTCAATTCTAATATCTGCTGGTGCTTTGTGGCTAACAGTATTAACTCAGTTGTCTAGAGCAGTGTTCTTAAATTTTAATGTACCTATGAATTATTCCGGTGATCTTTTAAAAATGTAACTTCTGATTTGTAGACCTGGGGAAGACAATACTTTGAATTTCTTCTTTTTTTAAATATTTGTACAAATTTATAGAGTACATGTACAAATTTGTTATAGGCATGGATTGGTGATCAAGTCAGGGTTTTTAAGATGTCCATTATCCAAATAATGTACATTTTACCCATTAACCAATTTCTCATTATTCTGCCCCCTCCCACCTCTCCTCACTTTTTTGAGTCTCCATTATCTATTATTTCATTCTCTATGTCCATTTGAACACATTTTTTTTTTAGCACCCACTTATGAGTGTAAATATCTACTACATGTCTTTCTGTGCCTGGCTTGTTTTACTTAAGATAATGGCATCCTGTCTTATCCATGTTGCTGAAAAAGACATAACTTCTTTCTTTATTATGGCTGAATTATACTTCATTGTGTATATATCCATATTTTCTTTATTCATTCATCCATTGGACTGATATGTAGGTTGATTCCATAATTTCGCTGTTGTGAATGGTGCTGCAAACAACATAAAAATGAAGGTGTCTTTTGATGTATTAATTTATTTTCCTTTGGGTAGATACCTAATAGTGAGAATGTTGGACTGAGTAGTAGTTCTATTTTTAGTTATTTGTGAAATCTCCATACTGTTTTCCTTAAAGGCTGTACTAATTTACGTTCCTGCCGACAGTGTATAAGAGTTCTCCTTTCTCTATATCCTTGCCAATATGTTATTATTATTTTTTGTCTTTTTCAAAATAGCCATTCTGAGTGGGGTAAGATGATACTTATTGTAGTTTTGATTTGAACTTCTCTGATGATTAGTGATATTGAGCATTTAAAAATATACCTGTTGGACTTGCATGTCTTCTTCTAAAATATCTCTATTCATGTCTTTTTCCAAGTTCTTTTTTTTTTTTTTTTTTTTTGAGACGGGGTTTCGCTCTTGTTACCCAGGCTGGAGTGCAATGGCGCGATCTCGGCTCACCGCAACCTCCGCCTCCTGGGTTCAGGCAATTCTCCTGCCTCAGCCTCCTGAGTAGCTGGGATTACAGGCACGTGCCACCATGCCCAGCTAATTTTTTGTATTTTTAGTAGAGACGGGGTTTCACCATGTTGACCAGGATGGTCTCGATCTCTTGACCTTGTGATCCACCCACCTCGGCCTCCCAAAGTGCTGGGATTACAGGCTTGAGCCACCACGCCCAGCCTCCAAGTTCTTTTTACTTTTTCCTTTTCTTTTTTTTTTTTTTGAGACAGGGTCTCACTCTGTTGCCCAGGCTGGAGTGTAATGGCATGATTATGGCTCACTACAGCCTTGACTTGTGGGCTCAAGTGTTCCTTTCACCTTAGCCTCCCAAGTAGCTGGGGACTACAGGTGCACACCACCATGTATGGCCAATTTTTTGTAGAGATGGGTTTCACCATGTTGCCCATGCTAATGTCAAACTCCTGGGCTCAAACAATCTTCCTGCTTTGCCTCTCAAAGTGCTGGGATTACATGCATGAGCCACCATGCCCTGCCCTTTGCCCATTTTTAATGAGATTATTTATTTGTTGTTGTTGTTGAATTGTTTGACTCCCTTGTGTATTTTGGGTATTAGTCCCCTGGTGGATGAATAGTTTGCAAATATTTTCTCCCATTTAACAACTTGTCTTTTCACTCTGTTGATTATTTCTTTCACTGTATAGAAGCTTTTTAGCTTAATTAAGTCCTATTTGTCTATTTTTGGTTTCGTTGCCTGTGCTTTTGTTGTCATAGTCATATGTTCTTTGCCTAGGCCAATATCCAGAAAAGTTTCCCCTAGGTTTTCTTCTAGCATTTTTATACTTTTAGGTCTTATGTTTAAATCTTTAATTGATGATGAGTTGATTTTTGTATATGATGGGAGATAGGGATCCAGTTTCAGTTTTCTATATATGCGTGTCCAATTTTGCCAGCACTATTTATTGAAGAGGATGTCCTTTCCACAATGTATGTTCTTATCAGCTTTGCTAAAGATCAGTTGGTTATATGTATATGGGTTTATTTCTGACTCTTCTCTATTCCATTGATTTGTGTCTGTTTTTAATAGCAGTTCTATGCTGTTTTGGTTACTATAGCCTTGTATTCATTTGGTGCAAAAGTAATTGCAGTATTTTTCTACTGAAATAGCAAAAACCGCAATTACTTTTGCACCAACCTATAATATCATTTGAATATCATTTAATAATGTGACATCTCCAGCTTTGTTTTTCGTGCTCAGGATTGCTTTGGCTATTTGGACATTTTTTTGGTTCCATATGAATTTTAGGATTGTTTTTCCCAATTCTGTGAAAAGTGAGCTGGTATTCTGATAGGGATAGCATTGACTCTGTAGATTGTTTTGAGAAAAAGTATGGTCATTTTAAAGATATTAATTCTTCTGGTCCATGAGCCTGGGATGTTTTTCCACTTGTTTGTATCATCTTCAATTGCTTTCATCAGTATTTTATCATTTTTCTTGTACAGATTTTTCACCACCTTGCTTGCATTTACTCCTTGTTTTTTAAAGCTATTATAAATGGGATTGTCTTCTTGATTCCTTTCTCAGTCACCTTGTTATTAGTGAATAGAAATACTACTGACTTTTGTGCATTGATTTTGTATCCTGCAACTTTAATGAATTCATTTAACAAATCTAAGAGTTTTCTAGTGGAGTCTTTAGATTTTTCTAGATATAAGATTATATTGGGAGTCAGGCACGGTGGTTCATGCCTGAAATCCCAGCACTTTAGGAGGCCAAGGCAGGATGATCACTTGAGGCCAGTAGCTGGAGACCTGTCTGGACAACATGGCAAAACCCCATCTTTACAAAAGACAAAAACATTATTCAGTGTGGTGGCACACGTTTGTAGTCCTAGCAACTTGGGAGGCTAAGATGGGAGGATCCCTTGATTCCAAGAGGCCAAGGCTACAATGAACTATAATCACACCATGGCACTCCAGCCTGGATGACAGAATGAGACCTCATTTCTGAATATATATTCATCTATATATAATATAATATATCTATATCTATCTATATCAGCAATATGGATGCTTTTTATTTCTTTCCCTTGCCTCATTGTTCTGGCTAGGACTTCCAGTACTATGTTGAATAGGAGTGGTGAAAATCCTTGTCTTTTTCCTGTTCTTTGGTGAACTGCTCTTAATTTTTTCCTATTAGGTATAGTATTAGCTGTGGAATTTTTGTATATGGCATTTATTTTTGAAGTATGTTCCTTCTATGCCTACCTTGTTGAGATTTTTTATCATGAAGTGATGTTGAATTTTATCAAATGCTTTTTCTGCATATGGTTTTTGTCTTTCATTTTGTTGATGTATCACATTTATTGATTTAGAGATGTTGAACCATCCTTGTATTCCTGGTTTAAAACTGATTTTATCACAGTGTGTTACCTTTTTGATGTGCTGTTGGATTCTGTTTGCTAGTATTCTGTTGAAGATTTTTGCATCTATTCATCAGGAATATTGGTCTGCAGTTTTCTGTTTTTGTTGGGTTCTTGTCTGGTTTTGGTATCAGGGTGATATTGGCCTCATAGAATGAGTTTAGGGAGAATCCATTCTTCTCAATTTTTTGGAATAGTTTCAGGATGTGTGGTATTAGTTCTTCTTTGTATGCAGAACTGGGTAGAATTTGGCTGTGAATCCATTAAGCCTGGCCTTTTATTTTGGTGGTGATGGTGGGGGCAGATTTTTATTACTGAATCAATCTTACTACTTGTTATTGGTCTGTTTAAGTTTTCTATTTCTTCCTGATTCAATCTTGGTAGGTTGTATGTTTCCAGGAATTTATCTATTTCTTCTATGTCTTCTAGTTTGTGAGTGTATAATTGTTCATCATAGTCTCTGATGACTGTTTATGTTTCTATACCATCAGTTGTAATATCTTCTTTTTCATTTCTAATTTTGTTTATTTGGGTCTTCTCTCTTCTTGGTTAGTCTAGCTAGCCAT